CTTTTACCTTCTCTCTTCTCTTTTTAAAAATTATTTTATATAAAAATTTTGATAATGAGTTTTTTTTCAGGAAAAAACAAAACTGGAAAATAAACGTAGGGTGAAATTAATTCTTAAGTGTCCATATTACAAGGAGTGGCCAACTTTATCCATCTATGAGCTAGTTGCACTCATTAAATGGAAAACATTTCCTCCAGGTCATGGTGAGTTTAACGCAATTTTGGATACTTTTCTTTACATTACATTATTGGAATTTATAATTTTTCAGTTTTAATATTTTATATACGATTTCTTTATGAGTGCTTCTCTAAAACATTCAACCTTACCTTTGAATTGGACATTTAGATTATTTCTATATATCTACTGTAGGAACCTGGTAGAGATCCAGGAGGTAAAACTCATAAAAGTATGGGGATTTCCTGATGTCTGGGTCCCTTTGGAATTTTTAATCCTCAGATTTGTCCACAGTGAACCTTCAGCAATTTGTCAGTTACAGGTTTTTTTTTTCCTACTTCAATCCTGGTTTCTATGGAAGTTTCTGCTTTAGTAAGTTGTGATTCTCTGTATTTACCTGTCAGTTCCTCCAATTTTGTGGGCAGCAATTTGACCTGTAACCTCATTTCTATTATGAAAAAATTCTTGGTTTTTCAGCTTTCTACTTGTCATAATGTAGTGGTGACCTCCAAGCTCCTTACTGTTGGAGCAGAAAAACTAATTTTTTACTATATTTGTTATTTTTCTAATACGTGCTCTAGGGCTAACCATATACACCTAAATTTATGAGAATCTACATCAAATTTTTATTAACTTATTTCCAGTTAGATATAGAAATGCTACCATGCATACCTCTATTTCCTTTTGCCCCTTTGTGTGTTATTAATTGTTATACATATTGATTTATATGTTACAAACCCAACAATAAGTTATCATTATTATTTTAATAGTTTTATGTCTTTTAAAAAACATGAGAAAAAGAGTGAATAAGTGTATATTTATAGTATTTGCTACATTAAGTACCTTATTTACCATTTCAAGTTATCTTCATTTATTCCTATAAATTCGAGTTACCATCTGATATCCTTTCCTTAGTCCAGTATAAGTTTGCTCCCATCTGCCTCCTTGTGCTGTTATCGGCAAGTATACTACATTTTTATACCATAGACTCAAATCAGAATTATAAGCTTATTATTTCACACAATCATTCTCTGAAGACAAGTAAGAGAAGGATAAGAAATATACATTTCTGTCACCTTCTATAATTACATATTTACCTTTAGGGTTACTTTCTGATTTTTCAAGCAGATCTGAATTATTGTTTGGTGTTATTTCCTTTCAGCCTGAGAAACTTCCTTTAGTTATTTCTTTTAATGAGTAAGTGCTAGTGACGATAATCTCAGGTTTTGTTTAACTGGGAGTGCTTTTATTTGTTTTTGAAAAAATATTTTTGGATTCTTCGTTGACAATGTTTATTTTTCTTTTTTATTTTTTGGGCACACTTTGAATATATTATCCCATTGTCTTCTGGCTTCAAATAGTTTCCAAAGAGAAGTTAGCTGTTAACCTTATGGTTCACGTATAAGTGATGAGCCATTTTTCTTCTGCTGCCTTCAAGTTATTTTCTTTTTCTCTGTCTTTTAGCATTTGTACTGTGATGTGTCTGTGTGCTTCTTCCATCTTACCCAGCACCAGAATTCTCTGTCACCACTTTAACTTTTATTTTTCCCTCTCCTCTGCTCCCACTCTCTTTTCCCTCAGTTATACTCTATCCTAGACCCTCGCTGTACTAACTGGCAATAAAGTGAAGTTTATTTTATCATTCACCTCCTTCCCAATATTTTTTCTCCTATTGTCATTAGGTTAAAGTTCAAAATCCTAATATTGTTTAAAAGCCTGGTTGCATCTGGGCCATGCCTATGTCTCCAAGTTCTACATCGACTCATTCTTCTCCCTTCTGCTCATGTTTCAGACATTCTGGACTTCCATTAGTTCTAGTGGTACCCTTCCACGTCTAGGAGTTTGCACGTGCTGTTCCCACTTCCTGGAGAAGTCCCTTAACTTTCACCTCACTAAATTTATTTATTGTTTAGATAATTTTTCCAGATCAATTTAGGTTCTACTTCTGTCTCTTTGCTTCCAGAAATCTCTGTATACCCCATACCTGAGGGTTCAGCAGACTTTTTCTGTAAAAGACGATGTAGTAAATATAGGTTTTGCAGGTCATGTACAGTGTCTGTTGCTTCTGCTTCTTCTTTTTTACCATCTCCCACTTCTTCTCCTTTATTTTTATTCCCCCTCCTCCTTTTCCTTCCTCGTTTCTCCTCCTCCTTCCCTTAAAAATGTAAAATATATTCCTAGCTGGAGATCAGTAAGAAAATAGACCTCAGGCCAGAGTTAGCCCATGCGCCAGCATTTACTAACCCCCTGTCTTATCTCAACACTCATCACGCTATGTTACAGTTAATAACTTAAGAATCAGTTTTCCCAGTAGACTTAAAATTCCTCTGGAACATGTTCACCTTATTTTTCAGTACCCAAAAGAGTGCTTAAAATTTGTAGGTCCTTGAAATATATGTTGAATAAAAAAAATGAATGAATGTTTTGGTGTTGGTGTGTCTTTAGACCAAAGTTATGGTATATTTCTCCCAGAAGTAAATAATGTAACCTGTGCTGCTCAGTACAGATGGGTTGTGTTAATACGTAGCATATATTTTCTTTATTTGACAGAAATGGTATTCACTGATTGCATCTTAATATACTTAAACACACTTTTGTTGTTAAATTTTGATTGAAACATAATTAGTTGCTTTACCATCTTTGAGTAGAAACTTGAGGAAATTGTATCCTTGTGGTCAGTCAACCATTAAGAATGCTGTGAGGCACAGTGTTTTTAACTCATAATCCAGGTAAAATGAAGGCTAGTTGGAACTTGATATACTGTTAAAGACGAAGATTAGGATGATATTAAAAATAACACTAGTTAAAAAGCAGTTTGAAAGTCTGTTCTCTTCAAGAAATCACCAGGAGGAAAAAATTTTGAATCTATCAACTAATCATTTTTATTTTTAGCCATTTTGTTTAACTTAAACTATACATGTAATTGTACAGCTCTTGAGAGAAATTTATCTTGGATTATCGAGGTGGGCCCTATGTGCCAGCAGATGCATCCTTATAAGAAGGATGCAAAGGGAGATTTGATAGAGACAACAACAGAGGAGAAGGTGATGTGAATAGATTGGAGTGATGCTCTCAGAAGGCGGGTTTGCCAAGCCATGCCAGCAACGACCAGAAGCTGAGAAAGGGAAGGAATGGGTTCTCCCCAGAGGGGACCTCCAGAGGGAGCACAGCCCTGTTGACACCTTGTTTTCAGACATCTGGCCTCCAGAACTGCCAGTGAATATGTTGCTATAGTTTTAAGTCACCTAGTTTATGACAGTTTGTTACAGCAGCCACAGGAAACGAATACAGCGATACACTATAAAACCATTGATTTTGTTCTCAAGTGATTTTGCAATTTGTCAAAGGTATATTAATATCCAAAGAATGCATCCAAACAAGCTTTGTAGGAAGGATGCAGTCTAATTTTTTTCTCAAAATTAATGGAATTATAGTAAGATAAAGATGAACAACATCTTAAACAATTAGGTAAAATAAAAGACAATTACTGCTGATGGAAATAATTATCTGGCTGCTAGATAGTAATCAAAATAAATTAAGCATTTATTTAATTAATTCAAATCCTTGGGAATAGATAGGATACCATTAAATATCTTTTAATAGGAGAACATTCATTAATTCAGATTCCCCAAAGGACACCTCACGAGCAAGCCAGGCAATGCTGAAGCCCTCTGTGGAGCACTTTTTTCCCTACCTCTTTCTACTTCCTCCATATGACCATCGCCTCTTTCATTTTGTCATTGCAAAAATTATACTCTTTCTTGTGAATGCAATTAATTTTTGGCATTCTATCTTCTAACATTTAGAGGTAAATTTGCATTTTCTTCCATGTAAAAAATAAGACAACCCAACTGCATTTTCTCACATTTTAAGCAAACCAAACAGATGAATATAATTTTTATTTTCTCTAAGCAACAAACATGTGGGCAGTTAAATCTATAGACATACTAAGTTACAAATGCCATTCACTTTCATCAAAATTATCTCTCAAAATTTCAGAGCAGAAGTTCTTTAAACACTAACTCTTGTACTGCAATACAAATATTATTTATAACCAGACTGTTAACAAGGATTATTGTTTCTTGATAGTACTGATTGCTTTCTTCTAAGTTTCTGTATGTCAAAGATATTATATAATAACTATTTTTTATAAATAAATAAATATAATTATAATTGGTTTTCTAAAAACCCAAAGCAACCTATTGAATGAAAAGCCAGCTCTATTGAAAGTTGTGATGCCACATCCAATTTTGCACCTTTAGAAGTTCATTAACATAAGTCCTTACCAGTTTTCATCATATTTGAAGATACATGCTTTTTGGAATGTCTTCTGCTTGGAAATTTCTTTCACATTTGGAGAGATAAGATGAACAAAGACAGACACCAGAAAAATGGAAGTAGTTCGATATATACCGTGTTATAGATTTTAAGTGGGGAAGAGAAATGAAAGTAGAAAAGAGATTATTTTATTTACTTCCAAATTCTATGGCCCAGCTCACTACTGTATGAAAGCTAACCAGAATTCTACTACAAGTCTGTCCAGCAGAAGAACATGCATTAGACCAAAGGGTTTCTGTTGGATATGGTGAGATCCTGAGTATGTCTAAAAAGATGAAATAAAGAAGTAGAAATTGGAAGCAGTGTCTGTGTATTGGCCAGTGATGACTGAATTCTTTTCCACTGTATTCCTGATGTCTATATAAAGAGCAATAAGATTTAAGAACCACAAAACTGAGCATATAATTCATAAAGGATTATAATGTAACTATATATAATTTTGAAGAAGTATAAATTTTAGAACAATGCTTTCCAATAGAAAGACAATAGAAGGCATATAAAAATTTAAATTTTCTTATAGCTACATTTAAAAAAGTAAAAAGAAACAAATGAAATTTAATATACAGTGGTCCCTTCTTATCCATGAGGGATACATTCCAAGGTCTACAGACCAAACCTTATCTATACTGTGCTTTTTCTTATACATACATACCTATTATAAAGTTTAACATCAATTACTTACAGTAAGAAA